AAGGTTTAATTCAAAGGAGCCCTTAGCTTCCCTAGTTGCCTCCCTGCATCCTCTGATCAGAGCCTTATACTCCCCCCAAGTGGCCAGCCCCTTCTTCCATGATCTATAGAGTTTCTTCTTTCACTTGAGTTTTCCCAGCAGTTCCCTGTTTAACCATGCCAGTCTCCTGTCTCTTTTTCTTGATTTCCTACCCACTGGTAGCTTGGAAGAAGTAGTCCTTGAATATTAAGCAGCTCTCCTGAGCCCCTTTACTTTCCAGTACCCTGTCTTACAGGATTTCCCCTAGCAGTTTCTTGAAAAGGCCAAAGTTGGCCCTGCTGAAGTCCAGGATGGTGATCCTATCTGTTATTCTGTTCCTACCACACAAGATCCTGAATTCCACCATCTCATGGTTGCTTCAGCCAAAGCTCCCCTCAACCTTCACCGCTTCAGCCAGACCCTTCTTGTTAGTGAGCACAAGATCCAGCGGCACTTCTCTCCTAGTTGGCTCATTCACCATTTTCATCAATAAATTATCATTGATGCACTGGAGGAACCTCCTGGACTGTGGATGGCTGGCTGTGTAGGCCTTCCAGCAAATATCTGGGTAGTTGAAATTCCCCATGAGAACCAGGGCCTGTAATCGAGAGACTGCTGTCAGCAGCCGCATCGACTTCCTCATTCTGATCAGGTGGCCTGCAATAGACACCTACCACAGTATCATCCATGCTAGCCTGCCCCTTAATTCTTACCCATGGGCTCTCAACTCGCTTCTCATATGCCCCTGGACAGAACTCGATACATTCCACTTGCTCTCTCATGTAAAGAGCACCACCTTGCCTTGTTGGTCTATCTTTCTTAAAAAGGACATAGCCATCCGTGACCACATTCCACTGATGTCAGCTGTCCCACCATGTTACTGTAATTGCCGCGACATCATGATCCCTTAACCAAACACAGATTTGTAACTCCTCCTGTTTATTGCCCATACTGTGTGCATTTATGCAGGGGCACTTGAACTGGGCTGTCAGCTGTGTCGCCTTTTTAGTGGAACACCCTTTAATCCCCTTGAGGTGTTCTATGTTTTTTTCCCCTTTGGCTCTTACCACCTCAGGAGCCCCTGGTTCATATCTGTGCTGCCCTGTCCCCAGCTGTCCCTCAGAGTAACAGGTTAAAGGCCTTTAGTAGCATCTTGTCCCCTTAACCCTGGTGTGTCATCTCACAGCTTGTTGCAGACAAGCCTGATATTGTTATCCCCCTTCCGCTTCGCAACTAGTTTAAAGCCCTGTCAAACATCCCTGATATCTCTTGGGCAAAGACCCTCTTCCCTCTTTGGGAAATGTGACTCCCATTTGAGTCTAGCAAGCCTGGTATGTAGAGCATTCCATTGTCAAAGGACTCAAAATTGTTGTGGTGACACCAGGCACGAAGCCACATAGGCTGGATTTGTCTTAAACTCCCAATGTCACTGCCCACAACTGGAAGGAGAGAGGAAGTTGGTTTGAAGAATCAAGAATTTATACTCAATAACCAATGAGACTATTAAGCAGGTATTCTTTCTTGCAATGCTGGGAGACACACAAAGATATTTCCACAATGTGTATTCACCTAGGCTTTGTCTTTGTTCTGGTTATATGCATTCACTACATACATATTTATTACATTCCCACAAAATAATTATTGATCTCCTTCTAATCTAGGAACTATTTACATACGCATTTCGCTTTCCATTCCAATCTTCATCTCCATCTACTTCTTTTTTCCTTCTTACTTTGGCCTGTCTTGGTGGTCATCAGATGCCTCTGGTGGTCGATTAGTTCATCAGTCCTCTTCCTTTTCTGTGCTTTTGGTGACCTTCTCCTTTGCTTGGCAGATTGTGTGTTTCCATGGGAGCTCTCTGGGTTCCTACATCCATTTTGGCAAGTTTTGGTACCATAACTTTCGGCCTGGTACAGACCGTAGCTGAGTTCTTACCAAGAGGGTGATGACCACTTGTGAGACTCACCTGTCAACTGGCAGAGCTTCAATTCTTCTCTATGTTCTCTAAATACTCAAAACCATCTTTTTAAACTACTTTAAAAAATGTACATGCCAATTTAGAAATTAGAATTGTATGTCATCCTCTTTCAAATAAGGGAGAGAAACAGAACCATTGCCTTTTAGTCTTTCCATGAAAGTTTATTCATGTGATGTTCTTGTAATGAACTCTTCTACCCACCATGACATAACAGCAAACAACTATGGATGAATTATGCAGGGTTGTGTTTTTATGTTCTGTAGTGGTCTCTAAGCAGCTGCCGTGGGAAAAGGTGGCATCCTAACTTCTTTTGCAGGGTAAGAAAGCAAGAAACAAATAATAGCTTTGATAGTGCAAAAGTATTCCATGGTGCACCTGGATTGTAGATAGCATACAAATTTTGGCATTCATCATCAAAACAGATCTAATGATTCACTGTATTTTACTTTGCATCTGAAGCCAACAACATTAAGTTATGCATTCTGGCAGAACACAAATAATTTTCTCAGACCATTTGCAAACTTGTAATTCTGCCTGTATTTCATACACCTTTGTCCCTATTCTGCAGTTTTAAGACAATAAAGTAACCAGACTAGATTTTGATTTTAAATCACAATATTCTATTCATGTTTGTGGCATCAAGACATTAGAAATCCCCCATGAGGCTAAGAGGTAGTAGAAGAGCAAAAGAGGACATTTCTAGGTTGTCACCCAAAACTCACTATTCACAGTTAAAACTCATTATTCCACAGTCAGAGATATTCCACAGCGAGATATTCCACTTTTGTTTATATATAAGGCAAGAAGAGTGATTAAAATGCACATGGGAGTGTGATTTTAGAAGAAATGATAGGACAAAGCCAGCAAATTTCTGTGGCAGGATGCATGCATTTCATGATGGTGTTTTATTTTTATAGTATCCTCTTGCTAAGCACTGGCCTTGTTACTGCTATTATTCTTAATTCTTTAGTTTTCCTATGGCTCCTGGAGATTATTTAAAATAAATAACTTTGCTTCTCCAGGAAGACAAAATTCAGGGAATTCAAGCCTCCTACCACACTAGATTCTGAGTTTTCACAGGAGAAACCAGCCACATTTTAATTAACTAATAAAGTGAAGGCAGCTTTCTGTCATATGACATGAATTTGCTTGCTCTGTTTTCCCTAGCAAATAACACTGACAGCAAGGAAAAATGTGTAACTCAACGCCCGGTTTATATCGCACTGTTAAATTCACATAGGAAACAACTGACTTGCTATTACACTTTTCTCTGTACTTGGCCACCTTCTGAAACATGTTTATATGGAATTATAACATAAGCCTGGATGGCATAATTCTAATACACCGCAAAACATCCACACAGACTTACAGGCAAAGTGTAAGCAGAGTTTAACTAATGTCTCCTCGCAGCAACTGCACTAGCTTAAGATATGCCAGCATGATCGTCTTTCTACATGATTATTTTTCCTCCCCCTTGCTCTCTGCTGTGCCAATAAGCTATTTGCAGATATATATGCTAAACCAGATACAGAACCTGATCAAAGTAACTGTCAAAAAACTGTGTGTTAGAGATCATTACCTTTCACAACCTGGGTCCTACACTTTGCTCACAATAACCCCCTGCAGTGCTACAGACTCGAGGAGGAGTGGCTGGAGAGCGGCCGGCAGAGAGGGACCTGGGAGTGCTGGCTGGCAACTGGTTGAACATGAGCCAGCAGTGTGCCCAAGTGGCCCAGAAGGCCAATGGCATCCTGGCTTGTATCAGGAACAGTGTGGCCAGCTGGAGCAGGGATGTAATTCTGCCCCTGTGCTCAGCACTGGTGAGGCCTCACCTCCAGTCCCGTGTGCAGTTCTGGGCCCCTCACTTCAAGAAAGACCTTGAGGTGCTGGAGTGGGTCCGGGGAAAGCAATGAGGCTGGTGAAGGGACTAGAGGGAAAGTCCTGTGAGGAGAGGCTGAGGGAACTGGAGTTGTTCAGCCTGGAGGTGACTCAGGGAGGACCTTATCACCCTGTACAACTACCTGAAGGGACGTTGCAGTCAGGCAGGCATTGGGCTGTTCTCGCAGGCAACTAGTGACAGGACGAGGGGGCACAGCCTGAAACTGCATGAGGGAAGATTTAGGTTGGATATCATGAAGCACTTCCTCACGGAGAGGGTGGTCAGACATTGGAATGCACTGCCCAGGGAAGTCGTGGAGTCACTGTCCCTGGAGGTGTTTAGAGAGAGGCTGGATGTGGCACTTAATGCCATCGTCTAGCTGATGTGGTGGTGGTGGACTTGATGATTTCAAGTCTTTTCCAACCTCAACAATTCTGTGATTTTGTGATATATGGTCAATTTAATACATGGTACTTGAAACTACACTAATTGAAGTTTACCAATACCAGATGGAAACTACACAAAATCACAACAGAAAAAAACCGTTTTTATTGTCTAATTTGGCAAGTTCAGATTCGTCTCCAAGTTGCTGATGGCGCAATGTAGTGTAGGTGTTTGCACTGAATGAGTATCTTGCCTGCGTTAGACACAAGAGGAACGCCTGTCCTTCGGCATGAAGCCAGCACAGCCTCACCTATGGGGGTGCTCTCATGAAGGCATCTGCCCAGTCAGTCAGTCCCTGCCCAGTCGGGAGCAGAGGTCTGTCGGCACCGATCGGGCGCAGGAGATCGGGCGGCAAGCCAAGCCCCGGGCCAGACCCCAAGTTGTCGGCCGCCCGCTACTGCAAGCCTCCTGCCCGGCATGGCCGCGCGCCATCAAGTTCCAGTGCTAAGAGAGAGGCAGAACGGCCTCCCCACCCCCGGGATCCCGCACTCCCGCGCTCCCAACAATACTCTTGGCGCTGATTGGCTCGA